TTGGTTCAGGGGTCAGGGCATCGGATGGGGAGCTTTGTTGCATCATGTTTTCATTCCTTCCTAATGATGACCTATTAAATAACATTAGCTGTGTTTATTGTATTAATGGCCTCCAGTCTAGCTCTTATGCTTTATAAAAATATTTTTGATGTTGAGCTGTAAAGCTTACAGCCACACACATGTCTACAATTACTGTCTGACATGTAGAATAAAAGAGGGAACGGGCTTTCAAATGACAGAACAAGCAATGCAAAACTAATTTGATAGGCAACTTAGAGCTGACTCTTTTTTTATTCTCAAACTGCCCTCAGACTGAATGGTGCTCCAGTTCGGTGAGCCATGTTATCTATAATAAAAACTGCCACTGAGTTAAATGCACCTGTCAATATTGATAAAGAGCAGAAAAGGCTTTGGTGAACATTTTGGTGTGGAGGACAAAACTTGGAGCATTTTTGGATGTATGGGGAAACCTGATTTTACAATATGGTGTAAAAACACTCGTATGACATTTATGTATGATGATGATCATGATTTTTTAGAACACTTATAATACTTATACAAACAGAAGTCTGAAAATCCTGTGGTTAAAAGGTGTAGTCTGCTTAGAATTAATCTCTTTAGTTAGGGAAAACTTTTTCTGGCAGATGATGTGTAATTTAACTCAAATTTGTCAAAGAAACACCAACAGAATATATTGCAAGGAATTATTTACAAGGATACCTAAAGAATTAGTTAAAATAAAATAAAATATAATTCATCTTCGGGTCTTTGGTGTACAGAAATGCTGACTAAATGTGACGTTTATTCTCTATATATCATAATAAGGAGCAGTTTCCATCCGTCCTCCATATGACATCATATTTTTTAACATTCACTACAAAACATGACAAGATCAGGATCATTCTTGCAGCCTCAGAGTTCTATTTCCATTGATTTAAGAATAGTTGTTACCTGCTTTCACAGCTGTTTTAGACATGGGATAGTAGAGAATTGGTATCATATCATAAATTAAAAGCAACAATACCAGTTTTAATCATCTATCAAAGTGAAATTACCTGAAACTATCCAATGTCGTGTATTTAAAACAGAAAAGTAACCATTATTTTTTCTGCTTCTAAAAAGAGAGGGATTATCTTCAAAATTTGTATTGCAAATTTACTTTTTATTCACCCTAGATGTGCTCTGCATTGATTACCAAAAGCATAATTATCCAATATAAACTTGGTAATCAGGCTCTCTGCTCTTCTAGTTGCTTTATAGATGTAGTGTTAAAAAAAAAGAGTTCCTTTATCAGTCCAGATTGAACTTCTAGGTGTTTTCAGGACACTCATGCTCGGTAGTGACACATTTAACAAATCCAACACAACTAAACAGTGTATACATAGGTAATATTGGTAAAATACATATAGGTAATATAGGTAAAATACCTGCATAAGAGGTATAAGAATGCTGGTTTATGATGCCTTAGTTTCAGCCCCATTACTATCTGTCTGCTTCCATGATTAACAACTTTTCAACAGAAGTATTTTGGCTTTCCCCGAAAGGGTGGAAAATTGTTGCCGCTTTAATTCGGCATTGCATTAGGTAGGGCAGCAATCCCCCCCAGTTCTTTCTCTAATGTCAAAAAAGGACATTAAACCATGTAGACACTATGACTAGAAGATTTAGCAGTTTTTAATTCCTATTGAATGTCATTTCTTTCTGCAGCAGACTTACCGTAGTATTTTTGATGAAGCAGATTCTATGAAAGAAACTGCTTCTTTTAGCATACAGGCTTATTTTTTCTTTAAAGATCATACTTTTTGTAGATTATAGCATTTTATCTCCTAGCCTTGGTTCACAAAAACATAGCATAAACAGATGCTTCTCATTTCTCTTGACACATTTGCTGCCTTTTGTAAAAGGTGATTGCTTTTCAAATTGTGCTGGTGCCTGCATAATGAGCCCTCTTATATCTGAAAACAGTGCAGCAGTATGGTTCGAGCCAGACCATCCTTATTACAGGCGTTTGTAGACTTCTATATCCTTTATTGGCTTATTCATATTAGAGCTGGAGAGGTTATGTGTTTTTTATTTTGTTTTTTTTCCTTGTGCCGATGAGGAGAAGACGAAAGTAGGGGTACAGGTTTTCTGAACGGCCTGCTGTTTCAGGCGGTACCCCTGCTGATGTTATGTGTTTAAAATCTATTACCCCCACAGCTAGGATTAATGTCTGTGTGTAGGCAGGGTGTGGGTGTGTGTTTCCCCTAAAGACGTAATCACTATGGTAATACAAAAGCCAGTGGATTAAATGGCAGAGAAAGTTGATTTACACTTTGCCTTTGGTGTTATTCATGTATACATATAGTGAAAAAAAATATATAGAAACTTATTGGCTGCAGTTTGAGGCAGAGAGTTTCTTCCAGGATCAGAAAATGAAAGTTAACATTTCAGATCATAAAGTATTGAATTTGTTTGATTTGAGGAGTCTTCTGGTGTTCAATGTGAAAATCGGAAATGGATTCATGGATTATTTGTACTTTAGAGCTTAATCTGCGATTGATTCTTTAAACTCTTACAAAAAAAGAAATCACATTTGATACGTCATAACAGGACAAATGTCAAAGTATGATTTGAAACTCATTGACAAAGTTGTTTTGTCAAAGATGGAAATTTCTCCAATAGCCACAGGAGGTTTTTTTAGTCAATGGCTCTAGCTAAAAAAAACAAAAAAAATCCTGCTTCCTTGAGGTTTTTTAATTACATTAAGCTCCAGCTTGTCTTTTGTTCTACTCTAGTGTATTCCAGTCTTGCCCTTTTTTTTGTTTTTATCTATTTCCTGCTTTACTTTCATCCTTGCCTCCCTTGAGGGGAATATTAGCAGAATCTTTTACTGTGGGGCCAAGCAGAGGCCTTGGTCAATAATTAATTAAAATCCCTGCACCTAATTGCCATCTTTGCTTAGGCTGCCCCTTGGTGAAAATCGTAAAAAATGCATTTTTAGAGCCGTCCAACTGGTATCCTTCTGCTGAGCAGGGTAAATTAGAAACATGTTGCAGTTCAAATGAATAAAAAAAGAATGACTCCAGTTTGGAGGCCAACACCTGTGGCATTGCTATCCAGAATTAATGAAGTTTGTGTCCCTGGAACAAACTTAGGCTGATGTGGTTGGATTTAAGGAAGGTGCTGATGTCAGACTACTCCAAACCATTAAAAGCTTCTAAAGTAAAAGTAATTGCTGATTTATTAAGATCATTTACAAAGAAAATAAAAGAAACAAAATAATAAACACAAACTATGATTCTGACAAGCTAAGATGATATCACAGCGTGTTTTTAGTTAATGAGAAGCCAAACTGGACTAGGCCTAATTCTTTCACATTTTTATGTTATTTGATATTTATTGCTGGAAGTTAGGGAGACTTTAAAGACACCTAGGATCAGACACTTGATACGATTACGTGAATTAGAATTTTAAAAATAACTTTGAAAATTATAATAAATTAATAATATAACTAATGCTTTTTTAAATGATTAAAAGAGCTGCAACAGACTGGTGACCTGTCCAAGGTGTACCCCACCTTTGGCCTATAAACTGCTGTTGATAGGCACCAACCCCATTATGACCCCGATGGATGAGCAGAATAAGATGGATGGACGGAAAGCTGGATGGACGGACGGACGGACGGACGGACGGACGGACGGACGGACGGACGGATGGATGGATGGATGGATGGATGGATGATTAAAATACACAAAAATAATTTCCCAGTACGAAATTGAGAGAAAAGATTCCATTTCTTTCAATTCATACAGAATGATATAACTACAAAACATCTGCACAATTAACCGCTTATAAATGACAGAATGACATTCATTTATATATTTTTAATTCAGAGAATTTTACTTAACAGCATCTTAAAAGCACATATTGATAATTAACAACCACCCTTACTCTGTCTTCCATAAAACTGTCTGGTCTTCCATGTGACAAAGATCCCAAAACAAATTAATATATTAAATATTACTGGAATAGTTGTACAGTTCAAATATTTCCCAATAAGTTGAAATTTAAAGGTTTTACCCAATCACCTTAACTAAGATATAACAGACATTTGCAGTGACTCCTCCCATGTTTACATTTTAAAACTTCTTGGCTGGTCTGACTTTGACATTAGTGCCATCACTAAGGTAGTTAAGACATAAAATATCCATCCATCCATCCATCCATCCATCCATCCATCCATCCATCCATCCATCCATCCATCCATCCATCCATCCATCCATCCATCCATCCATCCATCCATGTAGCGTATTTATACCCATGTCTTTCATTTGTTACTTGTTTTAACCATTCTTCTGAGTAAATCACACTTAAAAATTTCCAAAGAAATATCTCCTAAAATCTTTTATAAAGCAAAGTGTTGTGTAAACGTTTTGTTAAACAATAATTAAGTAGTCACAGAAACTGCTTTAATTTGGTGAAATATGTACCTTAAGAATTCAACTAGAAATGATCTAAAGATGTTGATATAGGCAGCTGTTGTTAATGAAGAGCACACCTTAGCTGTGGATGTCAAGAAAAAAGAAATATTTGTTGTTAAAGGTTTATTACCACTCTAAATTTTCAGTCATATGGGAGGACAAACCAGATTATTGAGATTTTCATACAAGTACTTAAAATGAAATTAATTGAGTAGAGGAAGAGCCTTTCAAATATCAGTTGAATTTCTAACTGTTTTAGTTAAGTGTTAATGAATTTCATTTAAGCTATTCTGATTAGAGATGTTCTTGCTTAAATTCGGGTTAAATAGCAACGTCTATAAACCCCCCAAAAATGATTTATATTCAATCCACTTGTTGTCATTTCCATTTGAAATCCTTATGCAAAATTTTTGTGATTCAACATTTCAGCCCCTAAATATTCCAACGGATGGAAACAATCCCAGGCTTTCCTCTATCCATGTCACTCAGCCTCATCTTACAGTTATCCCTCTCATACTCTTGTTGGCTCTTTTTCAGGACATGGTGGGGTGAACCAGCTCGGAGGCGTGTTTGTAAATGGCAGACCCCTTCCAGATGTGGTACGACAACGAATAGTAGAGCTTGCCCATCAAGGGGTTCGACCCTGTGACATCTCAAGGCAGCTGCGGGTCAGCCATGGATGCGTCAGCAAGATATTGGGCAGGTAAGAACCAAACACACATTTACAGTACAAAAGATTTTTACCTCTGTCCCAACCTGTGGAACAATTTGGGGTTTAATGGGGAAGAAGATGTGCATTTTAAGTACAAAATTAATATTCTATAGCATTGAACATTGCTGTTTAATATTTGTGCTACAGTTCTTGATGAGAGAAATCCTTCTGACAAAGCTGAGGATGCTATACGTTACTTAAACACTATCAATTTTTTGGCAGTAGGCTAATTTTAACCAAAAATATCCAGTTGCAAACATGTAAGAGCCCTGAATGCTTTAAAATTAATGTAAATAGCATCTGTATATTGTACTGTACTTCTGAGAGTATATCGCAATATTGTTGAGAAATTCATTAAATAATCCATGGCTTCTGTTTTCCTGTGTATAAAATCAACATGATGTAATGATCAGAACAGATGGACCCAGAATCAAAACCAGACAACTAGTATGAAAGTTTAAAACAGTTTACGGAAACGAAACTGCTGCAGGTGTTGTCAGCGACTAGGGCAGGATCCTCTGGAAACTGAGACAGAAGATTAGAGACCAAGTTATCTTTAAGATGTGCATCAATGGCAAACGTAATGGTCACCAACCTTCTCTTAGTGCGCTGGAAAAACCATGAGGTTAGGTTTGAGCAAGTTGACAGTAGTGCTGATGCTGCTGTCACTGGTCAAGAAGTCCCAGAGAATGACTAAGCTGAGTTACGATGATCCGTCATAACCGTAAAGACGATAGTGGGCAGGAAGAACAGAAGGACAGGCCAGAATCCATCGTCAGGGGCGAAGTCCAGGGTGAGAGCCAGGTGATCAGGAGTCCAATGAAGCGCCAGAGGGAAATCCAGGACAAGGCCGTGAAAAAGTTCCAGGTTAGGGAACAGACAGGGATCAGGCGGGCTCAGAAACAGGGTTAGATCAGGTCAGTCAAACAGGCAGGAAGTCAGGAATCAGAATGCTGGAATAGATCTCACCAATGGCTTGAAATAATCTGGCAGTGAAGTCAGAAGGCTGGTTATATACTGATAGGTGCAGGTGGATCACATAAGTAGTAATGAGCATGGAGTGAAGCTGAGCAGGCGTGTCTTGTCAGGAATCAGACCAACATCGGTGCTGAGATCATGACACATGATACAGATTGGTTTCTTTTGTGGAAGTGGCCTCAATCTGACTTTTCCATAATAACTATTAAAAATCATATACTTGATGCTGTTTGCGTGGAAGGCCTTGCCAAAGCATTTCTTTTCCTGGAGTCAGAAATCTAAATATGTAGAGTTTGCAAAAATTTTTTGGACTACCTGAAAGATGTGCTTTGGTCAAATGATCTTTTTAGCAACAAAGACTCAGTGTGAGTGTAGCATGTAACAAAAAATGAAAACTGGGAAAGCACCTCACACCCACCTTTAAGTATGATGGAGGATGTGTCATGCCGTGGGGCTTTATCACCACCTCAGTCTCTGGGAACCTTGTTAGAGTGTATGGAATCTTGGCCTCTTTGAGACAATTGAGGTTTATTACAAAAATCTATTTGAGTAAATTCAAAAGTATAATTAACTATATTTTTGTAGGGTAACAATCCAACACGTAAAGTCAAATTAACAAAGAAATTGTTTATAAAGCAGTAAATCAACCTTCTTTCAAGGCTAAGTCCCTGAGCATGAGTCATTCCTTCTTAGTAAAAAGCTTGTTTTATTTTGACAGGTTTAATCATATGCGTAGATGTTTAAAGGTCTGCTCTTTAGTTAAAGTTATGGGACTTTTATAGAACGATGAACTTAGAATAAAAAAAAAATCCACAGTTCATTAATGTGAGACTTTGTGAACTCACCAAAAAATGTCCTTTTAGATTTCAAATTACACTCATATCCCTTAAAAATGCAGTGTCCATCAGCATCAAATATCAGTAATGCAGGTGCAAATATACATTTTTTCTATTCTTGAAATCATTCAAATATTTACTTTGAGACACTGTAAATACCTCTGCCCTAGACCTAAATCCATCATTTAAGATGATGATTGAGTGGGAGAGAAGATAGAAAAAGTTAAACTATTTTTTTTATCTCAGAGTTGTGAGAACTCTACTTTCTACATCCACAGTTTCAAAGACTTATGTCAAACCATAATCTTTCCAAAAGGAATGGAGGACAACTCAACGTCTAAACTTTACCTTGTCGGTGGAGAACCTTAAAAAAAAAACTAAAAAAAGAGTCCATCCATTTTCTAAGACTACTTCTTCAGCACTCATATGCTGCATTTTAAGAAACACCAGCCTTCATTTTTGCTCTTGCCTTCAACCTTCCCCCTCTCTTCTCTGTATCCTATAAGTCTTCCCTGACCCGTCTTAATTTTTTTCTGTGAATCTTCTCACCTCCCTTCTCTTTCCCTCTCTCTGTGTGTCTGTCTGGCTTTTCAAAGCTAAATTCAAGAGCAAATCCCTGCTCATTCTGTCCCCAAGGAGAGAAAGAAAGGTGGACAATAGTAAAAAAGAAAAGATTCATCACTTTTTGGGGGGAATTAGCATCAAAATGAAAGTTGTACCGTATTTCTGAACCACCACTTACCCCACAAAAAAGTGAGCAAGGTGAAGAATGGAAGAAATGGAAGAACAATCAAAAAGGAAAAAGACGTGTTAAGAGAGTGGAGTACTGCAAGGGGAGAAATGAATGAGAGACAGAGAGACCATTTTTGGGGACGGAGGGGAAGGATTAGCAACAGCGACCCTCAACTATATCAAAAAATGTGTTGTTCATTGTTCTCTCATGCCTTCCTTTCCCTTTTTTCTGTCTTTCCCTCTCTATCTCTTTCTCTCTTCCCATCTCCTGGCCGTTCAACTCACTGAAGCGTTACTGTGAGGGGGAGGAGAAGGGACCAAGGGATGGATGGAAGTAGGGAGGGTGGGAGGGTTGTTTTATCCTCTCCTCGCTGTCTCTCTGGTGCCAGCAGAACAAAAACACCAACTCTACCACCCCTCGCACACACACCCATCCGCTACGAGTGTGTGCGTGTGGGTGAGTGAGTGCGTCGGCTCATCGTTGAGCAGGATATCAATAACCAAGCTCGTTTATTCACCGATGATTCAGCTGTGAATAATTTAAAACGTTTTCCATTTGAAAATAGATTGTCTTTTTTCCTCTTTAGTTGTGCTTATGCTCTAGCTGTGAGGAGTCAAAAAGTGCAACACACACAGAGGGGGAGAAAGACAAGGAGGCACACATTTACAGCAACTCACATCTTCAAGGAAAGGATTACTCCACCGTACAGTTGAGGGAGACCAGCAGATTTAAGACTGACTGACAGCTTCCAGCCAAAGCACCCCCCACCTCAAGAAGCACTTTTTATTTTTTGCAAGCTGTGTTGTGCACTCGCCATGTTTCCATCCCCTGCCCTCATGCCCGTTTTGCAAGTAAATGAAATCGCCATGGAGGACACTAGAGGATGCAATCTTTTTCTAGGTAGCCTATGTGTAACGGAAGCCGTCCATGAGATAAAGTCAGGTATCAGAGGTATTGTATCACGCCTGTTTGAGAGTGATACATTCACTTTAACCAATTTAGCTGACACAGATATCTCAATTTAAATCAGACAGATTTTAAATTATATAACAAGCAAGAGAGAGTTAAATGTAATTTACAGCATAAAAATATATATATATATATATAATAAATACAGACGGTCACTAGCTTTACTCAAACTGTCAGGTTTGTTAGAAAAGACAAATATGGTGATTCGATTACAAGGGTGCGATGGAGCCCAAGAAAAATACTCATGTTCCTTTTCATCTTCAACAATTAGGTGGGACCCGATTCTCTAATTAGGTGACTTCTAACTTGGTTGAATGAATGAATGAATGAATGAATCAATCAATCAATCAATCAATTAATCTGACAGATTAAGATTTAATTGCACACATTCCAGTTCAAACTCCAGTTAAAATACATTATGTTCCATTTTGTTTATTTTGCCAATTGGTAAATGTTTTATATCAAAGGAAGACCAATTAGCTGCATTACTTTATTGACTATTCAGCTGATCAAGCATTTGGTGGCAGTGGAAATAAATTACTCTATCCTTCCAGACATAGACCTGGCACAAACAAGACAGAAATGAGCTACACTGGAAAATTTGCACTAAAACAAAAAGTTATGTCAAAGTTTTAGTTGAAGTTTGGTACACATTGTGCCAATGTTTCCACTTTCAATGTAGGTTTATATCCAGTGACCAGAGAAAACATCTCAATCAGGATTGTTGTCTATTCCATCTGTATTGTTCTAAGTGGTAAAACTAAACTTGATTGCGGAATATTTAACCTGTAGTGATAATGTGATAGAAATACTTATAGCATTAAATCAGTGACATAATAAGTGTTGCCTTTAACAATGTGCGCATTGATTGGCAATGATCATTAGGTTTCTAACTTGCATCTTGAACAAGGGTAAAACAAATGCAATGTCATCTCTGATTTGAAAGAAAAATGTAAACGAAACAGAGCATAAGTTACAGTGCACCATTAAAACAAAACCCAACACATCAACAACACTAACTATCGGGTACATAAAAAATCAAATCACGCAAATCAAAATTACATTTGGAAGTAAAAGAGTAAATTAGTTTTTCAGTTGCTTGAATTTCGTCTGATCCCCATCAAAATATTTGTATTCCTCCAAATGTTTTTTCCAAAGGGTTTTAACATCCTGATGAAGTCTTTCTTGTGTATCAGACAACAGACTGCCATCCATCCATCCATCCATCCATCCATCCATCCATCCATCCATCCATCCATCCATCCATCCATCCATCCATCCATCCATCCATCCATCCATCCATCCATCCATCCATCCATCCATGGGCTGACCTGTTTTATATGGTAGCGTCAAAAAAATGTCAACTCCTTTCAGTTTCAAATTATATTATTAATATAGCTCCAATTAACAACACATGTCATTTCAAGGCACTTTACAGTGTCAGGTCATAAGGAATAGAACAGATCTCTGATATGAAATGGATCTTGGTTGTTTAGGGCTTTATACATGAAAAGGTAGATTTTTCTTCTATTCTGGATTAACAGGAAGCAAATGAAGGGAAGCTAAGATTGAAGAAATATGATCTCTCTTTTTAATTATCATTAGAAATCTGGCTTCAGAATTTTGGATCATGAGGGCTTTCTAACCACAGTTTTGGAACTTCCTGATAGTGAAGAATTACAATAGACCAGCCTATAAGTATTAAGGCCTTAAACAAACTGCCAGCAGAAACTCTGCTTGCAGTACACATGAGACATGAGCTCCGCCACAACATAAAGATCTATTTTTTCAAAACCCTTTATGTGCGGATTCTTGTTAAAGTACCTCATGTCATTGGATTCTATCTGATGGAGCGACTCAGAACACAATATGTAGCGAAAAACTAACACCGTGCATCACCTGCGATAGTCCTCAGCCTAAAACTGTCATGAAACCAGTGAATTTTAACATTTTATGTATAAAAAGCAACAAGAATCTGGTAGTGGGGAACTGCAGGAATTCAGATGAACTTCCTGGTTGGTCTGAGGGGAGACTGATCAGGAATGAGTTGGTTGATGACAACTGATGACTGATTGCTTTGGCTTACTTGAGAGATAAAGGAGAGGTTGCTTGGATGTGTAAGTATTTGATTCAGCAGGCTTTGCAGACCAGAGGTTCAGGTGAGTGTGTGTGAGATCTGAGAGTGTTGGCACCTATAAGAGACGTCATGCTGGAGAGCAGGCAGGCAGGTAATGAAGACAGAGAACTGCTGCACACAGGTGACTCCTTTTCCATAAAGATAGGAGATGAACTGAGGTTCACTGGTTTTCTTGAACAAAAAATATCCAAGTTAAAATGATTTACAAGAGGACAGATTAAACAGAAAGATATTCCTGATTTAGGTATTTGGCTGGCATACCATCAGGGTTAAACATCCGGCGAAGAGAGATGATCCATCGCCTCCTTATATGTACGCTAGTCATCTTGATAGAGAAATGTTCTCATATGTGCAGAAACACAGGTGGGCCCAGCCAGCAGCAAAGATCCTCTCTGTGACAGGAAGCACACTCACACCAGAAAAAACCCCAGAGACCCTAACAAAAACATGGTGTTGGCGCCGTCATGCAATGGGAACATACCACATTACCTGTGGGGAATTTGACGGGGAAGCTGATCAGCATTAAGGGGAAACTGAATGGAGCTACAGAAGAAGCAGGAAGGAAAATCAGAGGACTCTTAACAAAGGCTGGCAGCTGTATTTGCAACGATTAGATTATGTTAATCTATAAATGAATATTCTTCAAGCTCATTTCAGTTTTTGGTTTAATTGTGATGAAATGTGCAGAGTTTTAAGGGGTTAGGGTACCTCTTACGGTAAACCTCCCTCTGCTTTCCTTCACAGGTACTATGAAACAGGCAGCATCCGCCCTGGGGTAATCGGGGGATCCAAACCAAAGGTTGCTACACCCAAAGTGGTCGACAAGATCGCCGATTACAAACGCCAAAATCCCACCATGTTTGCCTGGGAGATTCGGGACAGGCTCCTGGCTGAGAGAGTTTGTGACAATGACAGTGTCCCCAGTGTCAGCTCCATCAACAGGTAACACTTTCTGTGTAATCTGTGGGTTCGGGTATCAAACTGTAACAGCAGATTGTAGGCGTAGCATGGAACAACACAAATGTGTGTGTTTTATCTGTGTGTCGTCGTTGGTGTGGGAGTGGAAGAGGGGAATAGCAAATAGGGCCCCAGCCTCCATATGTATGAAGTGGCTGCAGCTCAGTGGTTCTACACGATGGTACAATGACAAACCCTCTCCCCTGAGTGCACAGAGGGAGCAACACAGAGGGATAGATGGAAAAATAGGAGAAAGAACGAGGGAGCGAAAAAGGCAGGCCAAAAGAAATGGAAGGTGAAACGGACACAAAAGACAAGAAAATGAAAACAGAGCAAATTTATTGAGAGGAGAGGAAAAGGGGAGGAAAGGATGAAAAATAAAAGAGGAAGAAAAGGCTTGCATGATCAACCAAGCAGGAAGTGTGAGGCCCCTCTGCCATGTCTGCCTGCCTAAGCCACTTCACACACACATACACACACAGCTTTGCTCCCACGATGGCCATGTTCTCTCTGTCACTCAGGATCTCACACAAGACACTTTATACACACTAATATATATCTCCTCTCTTCCTCTGCAGGATCATACGGACTAAGGTTCAGCAGCAACCTGGTCAAACGGGCTCGGTGTCGGCTCACAGCTTAGGTATGTTCTGTAAGAAGATGCTGGTTCTTCCATCGGTGAGGGTTATATAATCTAAGCTTGGATGGTAGAAAGCAGACACTGCCGAAGGCATTCAAAATCTTTTAATCAAGCAAAAATATAAAACTATTTTGGGAAATAACTGCAAATGCAAAGATATTTCTTTGTGGTATTAGGAAGGGCTTTTAGGTAATTATCAATATTGGCAAACAACATCAAAGGAAGTTGATGTCATCCCCTCAGCAGAAGAGTAAACACAGTCCAACTCCAGTAGCAAAGGTGAAGGTATTGTTCCCACTGAAGCCTTTATTTCCAGATTTTAATTAACCCATGGACATAATACAACAAAGGATATTTGGGACACTTTTTAATATACAGCAGTGATATGTCCTAATTCTTGGACCTACCTACTTTTTATCAAAGTTGCAACAAAGTTCAAACATTATTGGAAAATTGGTGATACAAAACATGGAATATGGAAATTCTGAAATAGAACCTGAAAATGTTTCATGTACATCAAGCCATTTATAGTCAGCTCAATAATCAACTCAAAATCACTCTGACTGGACGGATACTATCAATGCACGTCAGTTTGAAAGTTTTGCATTAGATTCTCAATTAAATTTAATGTTCAATATAGACTCGACCATTCTCATATATGAATATGCTTTGCTCCAAACCAATCCAGTGTACACCTAGCTGCATGCTTTTGATTGTTGTCCACCTCAATTTTTATTTTTTGACCAGTTTTCTTGTTGTATTGCCCCATATTTACCCCAAATAGAGAAAATCCTTCCCCACAACATAATACTGCTACCATCGCCATTATGTAGAGATGTTTAGGGGTAATAAATAACCTTTCAAGGTAGATTACAGCATCTTAATGAGTCTTGCAGATATGCACAGATAACCCGATGCAGCTCTAACCCATTGCTGCTCAAAAAAAAGTCCTTTACATAAAGAGAGCAGTTGAAGTTTCTAACCATAAGTAAATAACCATATTGAGTACATTAAGCAAAAAGTCATGAAGGAACAAAAAGATAATCACTAAGGTTCTTATGTATTAATCCCCATGACTTCTTATGTTTTAATATTTTTGTTTGTCAGGTAAAGCCTTTTATCCCCACACTGGAAACATTAGTCCCCTTTTCTCCATGAATATTTCAAAGGACAAATAGTGTTGCTCACTTTTCCCTGCAGTGGATTGCACCTTGCTGTCTTGTTGTATCTTCATGATCGCACATTGTCTAGTAATCTAAATTAATTTTCACACACTGCTCCCTCACTCCTGCCTTATACTCACATTTATCAGATCCACCCAAATACATACACACCTAGATATGATGCAGTGCACGCTCTCCCTTCCACACGCACGCCTACAGATTACACAGATAAATGGCTCCCACTCCCAGGCGGAAAATTGAACATTTGGATTTGCAGAATAGGAGCGTTACGTTCAGAAAAAAAAAAAAAAAAAAGAAGAGTGAAAAGAAAAAGAAAGGAAAATCAGATAATTGAAGTGCTAAATCAAGTGATGGGAAAAGAGGGGATATGCATTCATTATACTCTTCTTGTCGTTAGCAAAAAAGAGTAACAGCTTGAGAGGACTGATCCTTTGGTTTGTCTTGTTTCTTTTCCTTATTCCCTTTTCGGTCTTGTCTGTCTCTGATGGGGGGGTCTATTGGGAGAGAGGATTAGGACGTCTGTTGCCACACCTTTCTGTCCCTCCTGGGATACCATACTGTCACTCAGCCCAACGTCCGCCTATAGATAAGGCACCTAAGAGTGACTGACTGCGTTTTGCAGTTTGTGCATGTGTGTCAGGAGGTTACAGAGTGTATGTGTGTCACTAAAGCAGTGACAACTGTGTCGCCCATCAAGAAACTTGTCTCCTCCAGGGGGAAGATCAGAGCAGGTGACAACAAGGAGCAGAAAACCCCTGATAGCTCATCAGTGGGCCTTTTCCTTTGAGGGGAAGTTTAGTTAGAGTGTTTTTGTTCTATTTAAAGGTATAGTGGATGATTTTCGTGAATTTTTTAAAAGACCTGCCCTTTCCCCTTAAAAAAACAAAAAAGCACATGCGCAATCTCCTGAGAGGTAACATCTATCAAACACGTGCAGGAGCATTCATGAGCCTATTTCTCCTTGTGCACGCTATATTTAAATATTGCTGCTTGCATCGCTCATACAAGCTTACTTTCCAAAAGAAGAATTGTAATTTTTCCAGTGTGTCAGACTCACCCCCAGTAATTGAAAATGGGGATGAGCACGTAGGACGGCCTTACGTAAACATATCACCAGAATGATTGACAACTAGGAGAACCACTTATTTTGATGATCCACCTGGAAAAAGAACATTGTCTGCTGTACCTTTAAAGTTTCCAAATACAAATATATAAAGACAATGAGCAACTGAAAGGGTAGGCTCAGTGTGACATGCAGTATTCTTACTATTGGGATGTTTGTAACAAAAAAGAACTTTTTATTTCCGGATACATCCTTTAATTCACCTTATGCTCTGTTTGCAGCGACGTCCGTAGCTTCTACACAGGTTTCAGCGGTCACTAGCGACTCTGCTGGCTCATCGTACTCAATCAGCGGCATATTGGGAATCAGCTCTGCTGCCGACGTGGGCAAGAGGAAGAGAGATGAGGGTGAATATTTGTCCTTCATATTTTCACGTCTTTGTGTATTCTCCCATAAGAATGGCTTTTGCAAAAATGTAAAATACCCCAAGACAGTACATACACCAGATGAAGCAACACTCAAGGTGGTGATGGAGACCGGAAGATCTCATCCACTCAAAAACAGCATCAAAACAAATAAAAACATAAAGATTAATGAAACATGTACAAAGGTGTGTGCCCATATGAAGTGTGGGAGCTGTAAACCAAACATCTTGATTGAGAAACCTGTGTTTGTTTACCAACTGCGCTCCACTGGAGACCCACCTGAGAAGCAATTTTATGCATGCTCTATTGATCATATGTGCTGTCATACTGGATCAATGTTGCATGCTAATATGAGAGTGAACCTGTATAGGTGTGTGTGTGCGTGTATTAATATTGAGAGGCATTCTCACATGCTTTTCACAGCTTTGAATAAATGGATGGGTGTGAGATCATGAGTGTGTATGTGGTGGAATCAGTGGCATTAAAAAGCCATCACACAGACGGTCTCCTGCAGTAAATGAGACAGCACCAGATGTTTGAGCGAAGCAGGGTGACAGAATGCCACCAGGGGCTATTTCTCTCTCTCTCCTTATTCATTTTGTGTCTCTTTCTCTTTAAAAGCTCACACAAGCACATATATACACCCTGTATAGCTGCTTTTTCCCACCACTGATGAATTTTCAGATCACTCCAGAGGGTTTCAGGTAATCCCATATGAACATTATGTGCTTGATTTTACCTGCTAACCCATCAGAGGACAACACAGACTTAAACTCCAATAAAGTCACACAAATAAACTTACTGGGAAAACCTTTAGTATTTCCCATACAACCAAAACTTTTATTATTAGCACTTAACTGCTTTTTGGTTATCCAGTTTATCCACTTTTATCATGTAGACATAATATATGTGAAACCACTTCAAACTAACTTACTTAATTAACCCAAAAGGAAAATCCCATAACTTTTTCAATTAATTAATCATTCACTTATCATTGGATGGTCTGTTTTTTAATGTTTTATTTAAAGCTTTATTTAAACATTTCAGGCTTGTTGGGGCTTGTTTGGGATTTACCAGCAAAAAAAAAAAAAGAAAAAAAAAGAAAAAGCATTTTGAAGCTACAGTCATATATTCAAAAGAACCCATATATAAAAAAATGTTTTTCTCTACCTGGGGCATAAATAAGAAGAGAAACCCCAGATTTGTCTAAAAAGCTAATAATGGAACACATCTTTACATAATTGAATGAATTCCAGGAGAAAAGCAAGTAATTGACCAACAGAATCAGTCTGGAAATGTTAACAAAGCTAAGGGTTTTTAATTCAAACAAACATCAGGATCTCACAGAGTCTCCCCAGGATTGTCTGACCCTCCTACATTACTCCAAGACACGTTATTGACTTATCCAGCAGGTCACAGAAGAACAAGTTTTCTATAGCACTAAAGACCTCTCAGTTAAACTGAGTTTTCATGATTCACTAATAAAACAGACCGGGATGAAATGGCCTCAGAGAGTGATATCCAAGGCAAAAAACACTACTGACAAAACAGAGAGAACACAAAGGCCAACTTATTATTTTCCTTAAAGAAATGATCCTCAGAAGGTTCAGATCCTATTACATAGTTTTAGATGATGAACAATTCAACTATCGGAGGCTGCTTTTCTGCTTTTTGACCTGGACCACTTCCTGTAGCCAGTGTAAATAAAAGCAAAAGATAAAACCAAACCATCCGTTTGTGACCAAACTTGGGTTATCCAGCAGGAGAATGATATAGAACACAGAAGCACATTCACCTCCAAAAAAGACGCTTCGGAGAGGACAAGTCAAAGTGGCCTGTGAGTTAAATAGGCTTTTCATGCAAAGAGAAAACAAACCAACAAGAAAAAAACCCTCAAGTGAGGCTCAATTTCAATAACTCTGCAAGGTAGAGTGAATACAACTCATCTATAGTCGCCTTTAACCCTCATTGCCAATTATCACAAACATTTAATGGCTTTTCTTGCAGCCAACCATGTATTAAGTTTAGGATATAATTATATCTTTAACACAGAGGCAGAGTATGCCTTGTGTAGCATTTCTGGTAGGAAATTAAAGCATAATTTTAAATAACAAAGTCAATTTATAGAAAGACAAATGCAACACATACTGAAAAAATGTAGAGTGATTGCATAGGATCATGCAAACTGGAACAGCCTCTACACGGAGGACAATGAGAAGAATCATTTCATCATCAAACAGTTTTAGAATGAGACAAACCATGAACAGGTTTAAGTTTTTTTTGAGAAAAAAAAATTCTGACAAAAAAACAAGGATTGTAAAGGAACTACCGGTAGATATTCTTCTAGCCAAGAGTTTTCACTGTCATGGAAAATACTTAAAATATTTTTTTTTGGCAACTTTTGACTATGTCTTCTACAAACTTGCACATTAAGGCAGGACACCAAGTTTTTACTGTAAGTGTGCGACAGTGTTTTAATATTTAACTCTAATAAGTGAGGTCAAAACGTTATTTCCTGTTTTTGCTAAGGTGCCTGGAACACCTCATTCGGCGAAAGGCTGCTCACTCTCACGTTTTGGGGGGGCTTTTTATCAGCGGCGTTTCTATGGCAGAGGTCTGCGCGGTTGGCTCTGTGGTCTAATTAACAGCATTGCTAATCACAGCTTCCATTAGAGCAGCCCCCGCCGGATAATGACACACACACACAGCGAGGGGCGACAGCAGGAACAGCATGCACTGACATGGACAGACAAACACATACACTCTGACAAACAATACAGCATGCTTCTCACATACACGCACGCCCATATGTTTGTCAGAGAGACGACATTCGCACACATGTACTCCAGGTCGTATGGACATGAAGCCAACAATGACATTGTTCTTTTGTCGACTTTGCTAAGATGACTATCTAAATAGGTGAATATTTTAAGTTGGACAGTCCGTGTTGGATTGGAGCATTGTGCTCTTTAAAGAAAATTAAGGGAAAAGGAGAGACCACAGTATTAAAATGTATATAAATAATTTTGGAATTTTGGAGTAAATCTTACTCTTGATAAATGTGTAATGATAAGTGTCAGCACAAGGTCTATGGAGGTCTATCCAGAGCTGTTATTCTTATAAAAAAGATCATTTAAATTAGGGCTCAATGATTTCATAAAAAAAACAAAATTTGTATTTTTTAACCATTAATGCTAAAGTGATTTTATTCGGATTTCCCTTTGCACTGACCACAAGCATGTAGATGTTTCACTCCTGGGTCTCATTGTTTTCATGACATTCAAAGGTTGCTGATGTAGAGTCAATTTTAACTTCATAGTTACTGTTGTGAGGAAAATTTGCTTACTTCTACCTGCATGCTAGCTGCAAGTCTCTTTTCACTTTTGTGTGGTGAAAAAATACAGTTTTAATGTATTATCACCACCTAAAGGGCTGGGGAGTTGGTGTCTTGCACTTGTTAAATGTCATATGAACAAAACTCAATGCCTCTGTGATAAAAAAAATGGTGTTTTATAAATTGGTGATTATATTGCTAGTGCAGTTATTTAAATACAGAGTGTTTCTACAGTTGCTGCAAATAAAATCTTTTAGGCTTTGGTTTCGTGGTTCTGTTCATTTTAAACGTGGCATCAAGGCTTTTGAGGCAAATAAGTCTGATTTACCTTATTTAGGCTAAAAAAATCAGTCTTGCTGCATTCGTGTCAAAATTCCAGCCTACAAAAATATTGAGGCTTTTCTGGAAAAGTTCAAATTTGTCTTTTCTAGTTACATATTCAAAACTTAAAACCTGCTGTTTTAATAATTCAGTATAAACCTTTACTCAGTCTTTGACTTTAATAAGTATGTGAGATTTTTAGTTTATACATTTTCCTGTTGCTGTGGTGAGTGATTTGCACCTTTTTTACACAGAAGTGATAATGTTAGAGAAGTGATAATGTGAAGAGGGACAGAGCCCCTATTTATCCTCAGAGAGAAGCAAAATCAGCCAAGCTTCAAAAGTACAAACAAATGGTAGCAGTTCAGCAGTAAGTTACTGCATAAGGCTGTATTAGGGAAAAGGGCTTAAGAATGAGAGTTCCTCACTTTCAAAAGGCTGATTTTCTCATTATGACAATGAATTTGAGCAATATTTTAAAAAGTGGTCATTACGTTGAGAAATACCAATATATTAGTCTTAGATCACTGTACTGAACTATAGCGTTACAGATGTCAAATGTAATTCCTTGATCTTCCATTCATTCCAACAGTTGGTTTAAGCCAATTATTTTGCTTTAGCAACTCAAAGTAATGTCACACATCCCAGATTTTTTTAAATACATCTTGCTTGGGTTTACTCCTCAGTATAGACCTACATATATCACAGAAAAAGAATAAGAAAATAAAGACACCAGCTTAGAGGTGAAGAGTATGTGTAGACCCTATATACTACCCTCCATTCAAACATGCAAATATACCCTAGCCATAGCAGAGGCATAGCATATGGACTAGTTTAATTTTCAGAACAGTAACATTATCATTTGAAAAACAGATGTGCAAGTGGTGGGAACACAGGAAGGCAAAATCAGCATCATGTGTGTGCGTTTGTGTTTAGGTGGGAGGAGTGTGTGGGGGTAAAACCCTGTGGCGACCTGTGCCCTCCAGCCAAAGAGAGGGGAAGTAGGGGGTGACTGAGAGCAGAATGGATATGAATGGGTGTGAATGGAAGAACTTGACTTGTGAGGCCAAAAGGGTACCATTGTACCTTAACCTATTCTTGTTGCACGCTGAGGCTGCTTGTGTGCGCACACGTGTGTGAGTGTGTCTCTGTGGATTCAAAATGGACATGGGCTCCAGAACAGGTGGAACAGATACTGCAGTGTTCATTTTTTAATGATGCTTCAAGATATTTTCATCAGATTTGAAGGAAAGTCATTCGACATTGAATTGCAATGAATTGGTATTTTTATGTGAAGTTTAACTTGATTCAGTGGCACTTACCCAGAATGCCACATTGACCTCTTACCCCCTTGTGCAACCACTGTGACATGCAGCAGCTTACCGAATAAAAGAAACTGGGAGTGAGAAAAAGTTATGGCGGATGGAGGGGGAGATCCATGCTCTTCAACCGTGGCTCCGCTCAGCACCTCCCAAAACTTTGATCTTTAGACACACTCACCCTTACAGACACAGCCACACACAAATTTAGCTGCAAGCTAAAGCTGTGAGGTCAGACCTATAACACTTGTCCTACTGAGATAATCTTCAGTATGTCAACTTTAATTAGATCCACACAGGTAATGTCCTACCCTCGGCAGGCACGCTGAATGGCTGACAACTTTAATTCTAACATGTTTTAGGATTTAATAATCCAAACTGCTTGTGGGGTTGTTAAAAAAAAAGGCTGGTTGAGCCAGCAATGGAGAAGAAGGCAGAAGAGGCGGAGGGGAGAGGAAAAAAAAGCAAAAAGAAGGGAACAATGAAGGCTCATTGTTTGTTTTGTTCTGCTCTGAAAAAGAGGGAAGAGAAACGCTTCCCTTCTGAGACCGAATCACAGAGATAGAGGCAGCTGGAAGAATGTGTGTGTCTGTGTGTGCGTCCCTGACAGTGAATAGGATTTAACCCGTCACGGCAATGAGTTTCTTTACCCATCCATGGATACAATGAGAGCGGCCGGATATCAAGCTACCCACCAACAAACACACCTCCATCAGCGCCAAGACCCATCCATACACATTCACACACATGAATGGACAATATTGATTATGACAAATAAAAGCTTTGTTCCTTTTGCTCAACTACAGTAGGTCCTGCAGTCTGCTCTTCATTCTGTAGTTATGCAGTCATTTGAGGGTATGCTACAGCTGCAAGCTTAGATTGGCGTTTCAGAGTGTACTTGTGTGTGTGTAGAGGTGTGTGTCTGAGAGAAAGCAGAAAGCAATAAGCTGACTGAAATGGTGCCATCAGAGCTACATGATTGATCAATTGAATTCCATCACAGCGACTGGCCAGTGGGATTAAATGGGTTGCTGTGGGTTACCCGGCTAAAGCATCATACTGCCTTTATCTCTCCCCTGATTGGTCTGCCACCCGAGACCTGGACCATGCACTTGCACTGCACGCAGCATCTTTGTATGAGTGCAGGTGTGACGAGACTACAGGAGTATAAGAGAGATTAGGATCGAGGTGTGTGTTTGTGGGAGAAAAGATGAAGGCGGGTTTGTGTGCTGAAAAAGAGTTTGTCAAAGAGTTTGTGAGAAAGACATAGAGGTGCTCTCTTTAGATACGAGCTGGAGTCTTTCAAATGAACCTAAAACTAGCAGTTGTTTCAAGCTTACATTAACAGTTTTATCGAGGTTGGATGGTTAAACTGCAGAAACACATCTAACATTTAATCCTTTTTTTGGAAATTGGGGTTTCCATGTTTTGAGTTGGAAATACAACAAGAATACAGAAACTAATTAAAGTAGACTTGTGAACATTTTTTTGCAAATTATCTTCAATTCACCATACAGTTATGGTAGCATATGTATATAACTAATGCCTGTTGATGCACACTCTACACACAGATAATCATACAGGAAGCTTAACTTTTCCAGTCATTTAGTGCTCAGAGTTATGCCGAGTTGTTAGGGTTAGGTTTTTTTCCCCTTTCATTTATACACAATACACTACATATTCAAACAAACAATGATTTCTACATGTAGAACTTCTTTTAAAAAAAAATCTTTTTAACTCTAAATACATGCAGAAGGCTAAGGGTTTTAAGCCGGTGAACCACAGGGCCCTGTTTAGCCTTAATATTCTATAGTTTCAAAGGAATTTGCTAAAAAAAAAATCTAAAAAAAAAAAACCCTTCAGTTGATCCACTATCACTCATGGACACATTGCATGTATATATTACCCATTACCTTTAAGCTGAATTCTTATAGTATTCACACACTTACAACTTCACAAACACATGAGAATCAGTTTGCTCCCGCTTCAACTTCAACCATTGAAATTGACCCATAAGAGGTCAGCATGTTTCAGTTGTATGGCTTATGGTGAAGTTACACTATGTTTCCAAAGCTATTCATTCACCTAGTCGATGGTGTTTCAGTATGATATCAGTCCACCCATAGAGCACATGAAGTTTGGTTGTATATAGTGATTGACTCCACAGAAAGATGGTGACCTCTGCAATATGGGCTTCAGCATCCACTGACCCTGCTTCATCAGTTTGCATTGCCTAGCACTTTGTGGCTGAGTTGCTGTGGTTCCATTCCATTTTTGATGACACAGCTGACAGTCGACTGTGGAATATTTAGGAGTGAGTCTTAACTGGATTTGTTGCACTGGTGGCATCACAGTTCCAACCTGGCATTCACCAAGCTCCTAAGAGCAACCCATCCATCACAATGTTTTGTAAAACTAGTGCCTAGGTGCTTGATTTTATACACCTGTGGCCTTGGAAGTGATTGGAGGAACCTGATTCTAATAATTCGGATGGGTAAGTAAATACTTATAGTGTTTATAGTCTATCTCTGTGATGAAACAAAGAGCTGCTCTGCCCTCAAAATAACCATAGCAGTGTAGCAGGACAGAACCCGCAGCTGCTGCTATCACATCTGTTCAAATCAATGATTTCATCTTTGATACAGGAAGAGCAAGAGCATAAAACTCTAAGTTGTTTCGGACTGAGATGTCACTTGGACTGATATGAGTGCATCAGCAGATGAGCAAATACTTGCCACTAGAGTATCTGCATTAAGCCTGGTTTATGTGCAGAAACCAGGTCGTCTGAGTGTGTATCGCAATTAACGCAGATAGAACTCTGAACTGGGTTAGGTTAGGGTTAACAAAAAATCTAATAATTAGAATATAACAAAACCCTCACCCAAATGGATTTGTAATGATTTCTTTAAGGGCACAAAAATGGAACAAGATGATACAAAGTGGTAATGTCTGGGTGTGTAACTGGGGTAAGGTTATTAGCAAAAGATAAGACCAATACAGAAGTAACAGTTTTTTGTCCAGAAAAGTTTAAGAACATTTTATTTAGTAGAATCAAGTTTGAAAATGTAGCAAGGATGTTCTCCAAAATGACAAATTATGTATTCTATCTCTATCGTCCTGCCACATGCATAATCTACGCCTAAACTCCATAAAGAACAAGAAATAACATCTTCTGAAAGTCAAAAAGTCGGAAATAACACTGGTTTGGATTTTCCAAACCAAAAATGTCCTTATTATGTACAGTTTTATTTTATTTTATTTTTTGCTTTTAACTTTGAGGCTATTGAGAAATAAACTAGCTTTTTTTTTAAATAGCTCTATAGCTGCTTTCCTACTTTCTAGATGTCATCCATTCCTTTGTGTCGTTGTTATTTTTTTTATCTGCATCTCTCCTTTTTCTCTTAAACCAAAGCCTACCACAAATAAATCTGTATTTTCAGTCCAAATGAAAAAATATCAGAATTTGAAGTCCCAAACCTCTTTTCAACCTGTCTGTCATATAACTACCCAGGACACACATACACACTCTCTGACACACATCAAACACACAGTGACCCCCAGGACTAAAATAGGCTCTCAGGAGCAGTTTGAAGCAATGAATTGGCTCTATAGCGGGGGATTTTCACCCTCATCCCCTTTTTCTCTTTATCTTTTTCTCTCGTTCTCTCTTTTCTAATCATTTGTGGGCTGCGACTCCTCAGAGTTCTTATAATTGTCTCGTTCAGTCCCTCAGCCAAGCAATAACTGCAGGATACAAGAGCTCACAGTCTAATACTGATACCAAAGCCATATATATTTGTGTGTACATGTGTGTATGGGTGATACGAAAAACGTAACGTAGGATTGTGTTTATATGAGAGTAGAGGGTGAACCTCTGAGAGATCAAGAAGAAGAGACAGCGTATGCTAGGTAATGGATTGCATTTGTATGCGATTTCTTCTGAGTCTTCTCAGTCTATAAAGTCTTTCAATCCCAAATCAGTTTACTGGCTTTATTTAAGGCCGCAAACTTTTTTTCTCCCATATCTCAGACTTATACTATCCGCCCTGGGTTCGAGCCTGTTATCACCTTTTTCATTTTCCTATGCTCTTTATCAAATGATTCCCTTCATCCTCTTAAATTTGTATCCCCCCACCTTTAAAATGTAATCACACTAAAAACTTTCTAACATCACTCCTATTTTCTGTTCCCTCCTCACAGTTTTGCAGGAGTCACCACTGGCTAATGGGCATGGTCACAGTGGGCGGGACTTCCTCAGGAAGCAGATGAGAGGGGAATTGTTCTCGCCACAGCAGATCGAGGTATTGGACCGCCTCTTTGACAGACAACCAACCTGTCCAATCCAAACCACCACTGAACTCTATCTGAGCCCTGACGCTGGCAAGGTAAGGGCAAGGCATTGTGCAGGCTCTTGACTATGGCCACATTTAGAGGAAAAGAAAGGAGTTGAAAAGTGTAAAGTCCTGATCTCAAACTTGGTTCAAACCCCATAGATTAGCAGTCAGCACTTAAAATACAAAAAGACAGTAAACTCATGTTCTGTTCATTTTTTCATTGTTGTAACAGTGGCATAAAGATCTTACATGGAGCCACGTTTGCAAGGAAAATGCATTTATTTGTCAAGCTGTAAAGCTGAGTATGTGGGTTGCAGCCATAAAAAACTTGCCCCATCCTATCTGCTGATGGTATGGGGTGGCATCTCCTCTATTGGAGGAACAAGATCATGATTACAGGGATGCTAAAAGACTTTGAGAAGATATTCTTGAGCCACTGGCAATCTTACACCACCCCTCCTAGGGAATAAACTCTATCCTCAAAATGTCAACACTTGACCCCAGAGAGTGGGGTTTATCAGAGAGGACTTCCTGAAAGGAGCTGAGAGGATGAGATGGGCTTGAACTTCAACAAACATGAGTGGGACCAGTTTGAACGTGCTGTTCATGCCAGAATGGGTGACTTGCCCCAAATGCTGATGGAGGAATGGCTTGCAATCCAATAACAATTGTTGACCATGCTGGTGACAAGCATCAACAGTGTTTGGCTATGCATGGCTTACATGTTAAAGTGTACTTTTCTTTTAAATGGATGATTTATCAGTTTTAATGTGTGCAACCCACATACTCAACTCTGCTACTCAACAAACAAATTCACTTATCTTTTTTTGGCGTGGCACCATTTTAGAGACAATTAACAGACTTCTCAGAGGTGTAGCATTTATTGCCAAGAAGCACTGTTACATGAAATAACTTATCACCACAGAGTTTGTGACTAAAATAACTAGTGTTCAGCTTTTATTTTGTCATAAATCATCCTCATTCATGGAGCCTTTTGACAAACTCTGAAAAGCTCTTTAAGATATTATTCTGTGATGGATACTATTCTGCATTTTTTAGGCTGGTGAAAATGGCCATGCAGTTCAAGCACTAGTGATGGTTTGTACTGCACCAGTACAGACTAGGCTTAAAATATGCAACACATTTAATTAGAATTTTATGCGAAAGAGCAGAAAAAATCTGTGCATCAATGTGAAGTGGAAGGAAACTACATGCATTTAAAAATCCTTCAGTACCATAAAAACTGATGAGTGAAGCTAGTATTCCAATTAGGCCACGCTTTTTTTAGATGCCTCCAAATAAGCTTCTGTGCAACCAATTGCCTTAAAAAACTGTAAAAAAATATATATATAAATCCAGTATAAATTATTCTAAGAATAAATCTTACAATTCTGTAAAGGCAGATTTAGGCTATTAGGTTGACAAATATGACAGAGTTCTGTTCCATTTATGATCCAGTTATGGATCATAGATGCCATATGATCCAGTGCTATATGATGCCACTGGATCATATGACACAGTCATCCAAGATGATGCCATTGACCAGAGTTAACAAGTCAGGTAGGATAGCATTAATCAGAGAAGCAGCCAACAGGAGGAGGTGCAGAAATTCAGAGCTCAGATGGGGGAATTGGTCAGTAGCACAGCTATTGGTGGTGTTCTCCACAAATCTAGTCTTTATAGAAGAGTTACAAGAATAAAGGTATCGTTGAAAGAAAATAAACACAGAAGACCAAAGTTTAGATTACTTCAAGCCAGGAAGAGAACAAGGTACCCATGTGGAAGAAGGTCTTCTGGTAAGGGGAGACAAAAGTTTAACTTTTAATTTGGTATATGTTTCTTGCTATGGACAGGGAAGCTTTGTAAATAGAGTTACAAACAAAGTACCATAATCCTGGGAGGAATTTGACTGTGAACATAAGTCTGACCTGAAATGAAAATGTTAATACCACAGACCATTAATGCATTACAATGGTACAGTCAAAGTCCAGGCCTAAATCTAATTTGGAATTTATCTATAGAGGTACAAAGCTGGCAAAGCTACAATATAAAAGACCTGCATTTAAAACAATTAGATCTATGTTTGTAGGAGAACGTTTATATTTCTTTCTTCCACTTCATACTCATGCACTGTTTTTATCTATCTATCTATCAAACAAAAACATATTGACCTTCCTAAGTTATAACCTGACAAAATGAAAAAAGACTATGACTAGACTTAAATGTTGGTATGAAACATATCCATATTGAATTTTTGATGCTATAACTCTGAAGCTTGCTGACTAATAGAATTAAAAGCTGCTGATACAGACCTTTGTGATTTGTCAGATAACATATTGAAAGTTCTTGCAAGCTAACAAAAGGAGCTTTGCTTACAGCTGAAAAAGCCTGCCTGCTTTGCCTTGCCATGCCATGCCAATGTTATCCAAATTGTTGTGCAGCAGAGTTGCACAATCTGCATGTGCTCTTAATTTCGCCCAGCTTGTTCACTGAGTGCTTGAGGAATGTGTCAATCAACTTTTGTTTTCTGCGTTTGCTTGATGTGGACTCCCGTGGTCTGATAGACACTCTGCTGAGACGCAGTCAGGGTATTTTATTGACATTCAGTTAATCTAGATGCACCGCAGGGGTTAATGAGCATATCGACTCGGCTTACGTTATGACCTCACTTCCTGCTTCTTCCAGGGCAGTGATGGATATGAGGAATCCTGCATGCTGATGCACAGGGGGAATGAACTGCATATGTGTGTACATGTGAGAGACAAGAGACTAGAAAGTCTGTGTGCGATGTGCGTGTGTCTTAATGCTGCATCCTAATTGACCTTCCACCCTTTTCCAGCAGTGAATTAATGTAAATCTCAGTGAAATAGACAGGTGTAAGTAGTAATTTGCATAACAAAATGTGACCACACTTGCATTTGTATTCCATCTGCCTTTTTCTGTTGTTGCAGTGTGCCGCTCTGCTCTCAGAATTAGGGAAACGTTTTGGACAATATCTCAACATGACAATTTTCCTCTAGAGTTTTTGAGGTCCTACCTCCCATGTATTAATATAGTCAGTGTCAAGGACACAAGGCCAGACAGACCCCAGAGTAGTCTAAGTAAAGTAACCACAAACAGGTTACTGCCTAAGACCTACAGGGCAGAGTTTGGCTTTTTAACCCATTCACTTCCATTTGACCGACATGGAAAGGGTGGCGGGTTGGGCCAAGAGGTCGACAGGTATTGGCTGCAGTAGCTCTATAGACTGAGACCTGAGATCATAAACAGCCGTGAATCCTAGGTCAGTGTCCTCTCTGAGCCTGGTCAAGCCGTTGAGGTCAGGGTTGGGAATGAATCTCTTTAAAATCTGGATCACCCCGAGGTCAAACTGGCTTTCGGATGTGCATCACAAAGAAATCCAGCCATGGTCATCCACTCCTCCCCCCCCTTTTTTTTTTTTTTTCTAGAGAGGATGATTGACAGTCACACCCTTAGCACTGACAAGTGACAGCTACAGCTTAGCCGCTTTGGTATGTGAGCTAAGGTGTGTGCGTATTAACGAATGTGTGGTGGGGTTACGGTCAAATAGGGTCAGGGGCTGTTGAGACTGACAGCTTTAAATATACGTGCCTGTAGAGGTGATGCATGTAGAGGAGTCAATGCTTGTATATCTGAGGGAAAAAAAGAGCAAATAGGAGCAAGCAGAGAAACTAAAGTGCAAAACAATACATTTCTAACAAATACAGGTTATGATTTGAGTTATTTTTCCCCAAGTGCTTTGCTTATAAGAGGCCTATTTTCTATGGTTTGTCTTCAGCTAAAAAGCCAGGAAATATGGCAAATCTAATTGGAATCCTCAGCCTCAGCTATACGTCCTCCCTGTTTATTTTCTTTACACTTTTCCGCCAAACAATCCATTGTTTTATCTCATCACCCTCTTCTGCTCCTGTTCCCCTCTCCCTGTAGTCTATTAAGCTGGGCTGATAATATATGTGTGCATGCTCGCATGTGTGCCTGTCAGGGGGAGTTTGAATTTGAATTTCCCTTCAATCACTTCTTATTACTCAGCTGATAAATCAGACGGACTAACTGGGCCCCCACCCATTTAAAGAACAGGATCCAAATGCCCACTTCTGCACCACGCAGCCTGGCTTGTTTTTCTGTTTTTTTCCTCTCATAAAGCCAGAAAATCTATAAAAGACAGAAAATGTTTACACCTCTGTTGGCTCTCGGTAGTCACAGAGCTGAATTGGCTCCGATATGAAAGGATAAGCCAAGAGAGCAGGGACGAGGTTCACATAGAGAGAATCTGCTTTGTGGATCTAATCTATGAAGTATGTTCCTTATCCTAACATTGAGAATGTCACTGTGTATGTTTTCAAACATTTGAAGTATTTATACTATAAAAAAACTTTAATGTTTAAAAAACATCCAGAACTCTGCTCTAAAATAAAAAAAAAGCTTATTTGCTTATTAATATGTTTAGTTATAGCAATTCTTTCCATCCTTCTCCTGGAGCTTCTAACCTGAAAAGGTTGAACTTGTTTACTCAGGTCTGTTCTCTCTGGTTAAGATTGATTTTACTCTCTTTTACAAAAGTGTTAACTTTGTGTCATCCGTTCAGTGTTTGTACAGTATGCAATGGGACAATCTGCATTTCAGGTCATTAGAACAACCAGATGTGTTCAATTGCAATCGCCATTGCATCATCAATGACATTGCTTGAACAAGTATTTTATTTAAATATTTGAAAGGCTACGATGTGTGCATTCGCTGCCATGTGTTATACCAAGGAAACATGATTTGAAAATATCGGGGGGAGAGGTAAGAAAATATAGTTATAAGGTGAAAAGAAAAATATGAGGGGAGAGAATGTTTGATTAAAAAGAACAAATACAACAACTTTAATAAATGTAATAAATCAGTTTTCTGTTTTTCTTGTATTTTACAGCCGCAGATGTAATCACTAAAATCAGTCTCACCTGAAACACTTTATGTAAGAAATATAACCAAAAGATAAATTATAAAACACATTTATGAGAGCAAAGTGGATTGTTGTTTGATCTCCT